AAAAATCGAAGTTTATTTATAAGACTCACCTCTGTTTTCTGAGTTTTGGAATGGTTTATTTATCCTCCTCTCACCGAGCTGTGAAGTAGGTGCTGTAGACGTGGTAATATTTATTCTTGTTGCTGAAAGCATGTTCATGTGTTCTGTATCACGTTATATTCATGTGGTTTGTGCTCAGTGTTTTTTGTTTTGTTTTGTTTTTCCCTCCTTTTAGAGTGCAAAGCAAAACTGAACCTCGGGATAACCACAGTGCCCATGACCCCCTATCTTTGGGCAGGTAATCCCAAACTCCGAGAGATACCAACCAGACTAGTCCATTGCAATTTCTTTTTTTTCCCTATAAAGATACCTATTTGTGATCTGTCTCATGTTAAAATACTGAACTTCAGAAAGCTCCGAGTATCTCTTCAAAAATGTCACTAATGCGAAGTTCAGAAAGAAATGTTGAAGTCTGGACGTGCTTCCCGGGTCTTGGCATCTCCTGTCTTGTCACCTGCTGGACCGCCACGGCTTTGGGTGCCAAGTTAATGTCACCAGTGGTGGCAGGGCGCCGCGCTGGGTTCAGTTTGGTCCCCGGGGCCGACGTTTGCACTTTAATAAACTCAGAGATGAAACGAGGCGAGAGCGACGGGTCCTTAAAATCGCGGCGCAGGGCTGGAGCGTGGCGGGGAGTGTTTTGTAGGTGTTCTGCAAGGGTATTTTCTTGCAGGAGCAGGAACTCAGGGGTCTGGCCATATAAATCTGTGGCTCAGAGGGGTGCAAAGCCGATTAAAGCCCCTCTGAGTGCTCAGAGAAGCTCCTGTCCCCTTTCTGCAGCACTCTGTGGCTCGGGACCCTGGTGCACCCTCTGCTTCTGCAGGTCGGAGCGGTGGGTTCCAAAGGAAACGTGGAGGACTGGGGGGAAAAATCCCCTCAGAGGTGGTGCACACTTTGAGTTGTTCAGCATGTACAATCGGGCAAAGCTACTAGAAAAACTAAAACTAAAATTATATATACATAAAAAAGGGGATTTAATTTCCAAAGAGTTTTTTTGACCTGAACGTAGCCGACCTGTGGTTTAGCTGGGGAACTTTATGCAAGTTGCAACACATGAAGCATTTCTGTCTGAAATGCTGAACTTTGGAAAGCTCTGGGTGTCTCCTCAAAAATATCTTTCATGTGAAGGTCAGAAAAAATGCTGAGGTCTAGACATGCTCCAGGTCAGCCTGTCCCGCCCCAGGAGTTGTCCTTAGGATCACATGTTGGATCCTGCCCATGAAGATGAGGAGTTTTAAGCGCACGACGAGGCTGCTCGCACTACGTGAGCATCCCTGGGTTGAGCAGGGGCATTTCCCCCGGGGCCAGAACCCATGGCCACATCCTTCCCCTTCTAACAGCATTTCACTCACTCTGGCAGAGATGAACTGATTTAAATTGAAAGGATCTTTTTTTTTAGGACCTTTTTCAATGTTTTTAATGACTTCTTAGAAGTCTCAATGACTTTGCAATGGAAGGACTTTTCCTAGGCCAACTTAACAAGATCCCTGACCAATCTCATTAAATAACACCTTTAAGAAGACACAAAATAAAAAGCACTCGCAGCTAATAGAAGATTTACCTGCCGTGTTTGCCAAGTACATCATTACCAGACCTCAGGATCTCGGCGCTAGCATGAGATGGAGAGGAGGAAGAGGAGGCAAGTGAGGAAGGAGTGCAAGTCCCGGTGGCCAAACATGCACTTTCGCTCCCCAAATAGCCCATCTCGCCTGCAGAAGCCTAAATATTTGGGCTGGCAAGCTCTCAAAGCTGTGCATGCTTAAGGGCATTTTTTTTTCCCTTTCTCTCTTCTTGCAAGTATGGATAGAGGCCAACACACTTAATAGTAACCACATGGCAAAATAAATAAGAATGCCTGTATAGACTTTAAAGCAAATGTTAAATATTAGCCCTCTTCTTCTGACGTCTCCAATGCCAGCTTTGAAACGGCCCTGTGGCAAACAGCGTTTTTATTTTGCTGTGTTTTCTTAAGCCTGGAACATTTAATAATTTCTAATTAAACCCTCTACGTTTTTTTTAGATTATTTACGAGCAAACCAATAAAGGCTGTTAAAAAGCACTGGGGAGGGGTAGGGACTACGCGGCCTGGTCATGCTGAAGTGTGTTTCTTCCAAAGCCATGTTAAAACGCTACCAAAAAAAAGAAAAAAAACACGTTTTTCTCCTTTTGAAATGGTATCCACGGGATGCACCAAGGACAAACCCTTCACGACTTGTATTTCCCTTCCTGCTTTGAGGAGCCTTTTCCTTAAAACAAACAGTGCAGCCCGGGAGCAGCTCAGACACAGCAGCGCCTGTTGGGCTGCTCCCCGCTCCGGGAAGCTCCCGCCTGCCCCCGCATAGCTGGGATGCCTGCGCCGACGTGCGAAAATAAAGTGCGTTTTGAATGAACGCTCTATTTGCCCTCTTCTAGCGCTGCCGAAAAGGAACGATCAACCTTTCCGCCCGCTGAAGGTATTTAATGCACTGAGCACGGCGCTAAATATTTGTTGTCCTGACACCCAGTGTCCTAACTTGCTGTCCCAAAATCAAATTTAGACCATGGAATTTTCAGAGCGCCCTCCAAGTTATTTGGGCGGTGAAAATCGCAATTCCGGCGCTTACGCAGAGAGCAGCGAGATGGGCACTGAGCAGCTCCACGGGTGAGTTTTGCCCAAAAGAGGGTTTTTCCCATGCAAATGCAGGAGTGTTGTTGCTGTGTCACAGCCGCGAGGCCCTCACCACCATCCCACGCACCTTGCAGAAAGGGAGAAACCCTCAAAATAACTAATGGCAAGAAAATCAGCAGGGCCTCCTTCTAAAGATCAGAGAAAAGGCATCGCTTCTTGCATGTTTAATGATACAAGTGTAAAAATAAATGTTTATTTGCATTCCCAGGAGCTTTCCCGTTGGCACATGGGCTCCAGACTGCTCTCCAGGGATGCTCCGTGGGAGGACACCAGCACTTGGGGCAATCAGCAGGGTCTGTTGCAAAGAGAGGGACCAATGGCCATGCACAAAAATAACATTGCAATAGGGAGCTGAGGGATGGAGTTTGTTAACAGGATGCACATATATCGTGAACTACATTTGCAGCAGATGCAAATAGGACAGAACCGAAGGCAGGCAAGTTTCTCCACTCTATACCGCTCATGGCTGGACAGAGTTGGGTTTTTTCTACCACATAATCAGACTGGAATTCTGCATATCACTGTAACACCCTACTAAACCCAGAAATACTCATTTAATATTTAATACTGGCTGTTTACATTAACTTCCCCCTAGCTTTGGTTATTTTAAGTAGATTACTATAGATCTACAGTATCCATATATAGAGCAAACCAAAAAAATATGCACCAAAATAAATGAAATCTGAGTTTACCTGAAGGTCAAGTGCTTCACTAGAACGTATCCATCTAAGAGAAAGATTTTAAAAAATAATAATCAGCAAACTCTCCAGCAAATGAAGTTGGAGTAGCCATGCACAGAGTGCCCTGTTGCTCGCTAAGACAATTTGCTCCTCCAAAATGGATGGAAAACGGAGATTTTCTCCCAACTTACATCTGCCCTCCGCATTGCGGCAAATGACGTTGTTGCCTTGCGTGGTGTCGATCACATCCAGCTGCTCGCCAGCTGTGACGGGCAGGTCAAGTGGCCGCTTGCTCGGGATCGAGCCCTGGGCCACGGCCCTGCTGATGACGCTGATCTCCTTGTCGTACTGCGGAAAAGCGATAGGAGCAGAAGTTATTCCATGTTCCTACCTGCCTTATGAGGAACCTCCTTGTGCAACTGGAGCCATTAAATCACTGGGAGACAGCGTAAGTTTGCTAACGAAGCGATGTAGGTGATCAGAGCAAGAAATACATATAATATACTACATATAATACATACACATTACATATATATACTATATATAATATATATGTGTGTGTAGTATATATATAAAAATTATTGCAAATAAATAAATAAATTTCTTGAAAATATTGAAAAGGCAAAAGGTGACTCCTTAGCGCAACCTCGAAGATCCCAGATGAGGAGAGACCATGCCCAGCCAGCTGGACCTCTCTCCAGGTATAACCAATAACTTTCCCCGGGTATTTCTGAGCTTGGTACAAAGTTGTTCTCTCCCCCTGCCACAGCAAATCCTGCTCTGTGGAGGGGCACATACCATAAACGTTTCCCTGAACAGCTTTTCTTCTTTTGCCATCTTCTTGCTCTTTTCTGCGCTGCACTTGTTGACCTTGAAGATATTTCTGCATGGAGAGACATGCACACATCTGAGCTGCCTTGGATAAACCTCATGCACCATTGTTTTAAACACAGGGTCCTGACACAGATTTACAGACATTTATATTGCACCATAAAATGAAAACCAAGGTCTCAAAAGGGACTTAAGCAGTGGCCTTTCATGCCGAGGCTGTCCCTGAGTCCTGAGGTGCCACTTTTGTGGCTGGTGCATGAGTTTGCAGCTGTGGCGTTAGCTTGAAGATTAAGGCAGGAAGGAAATAAATAAGTAAATAAATGCCCCTGCAATAAATTATTCTCTTTTGGCTAACTGTCATCCAGCCACAACTAGTCACAGCAGGAAAGGGACTAAGGAGCAGGAAGGTTAATGCAACTTCAGAATGAGAATTTCGAGGTATCTCCCATTTTTATGCCCCCTCCCCTCGGTACAAGATTGCTTTTTCTTCAGGAGGGGTGAAGCTGCAGAAAGGTGTCAGCCCAGTCAATCCTGTGCACATGGGACTTGCAGTCAGTAGCTTCACCCTGTACACATTTAGACAACAAGAAAAAACACAGCATGGAAATAGAGACCTCTCCACCTCATCGCTGCTTTTCCTTCGCTCCTTATCCTCTTTTGACATCATAAATCTGGGCTTCCAGTTTCTATATTTGTCCTCCTTCTCTCTGCAAGGTCGGCGAGAAGAACCACATCAAAATGAACATTTTCCAGCAGAATTTCCCCCCTCCCTCAGGACCCCACGAAACCAGGGACGAACAAAGTTATGTTTTTTTCCCTCGATCTGCCCCTGCCACCACCAAATGCAAACACTGGCTGCACTTTAGACCAGCACACACCGCTGCCGCAGTCATCTGGCAGCAGGACACCCAGCCATGCTGTTCCCATTAGGCATAATTTATCTGACGAGGAGCTTGCCAGAACCACGCTGATTTCAGGCACTGAGAGCTGAAGTTTGGCTTCCTTATGGAAAATGAATTTTCAAGTGTTTCAGGGAGCAGCTCTCTCCTTTCTGCTTCTCATCTGGCACTAGCCAGGTAGCACTGAAGGAGCATCTTGGGATGGCCAGATTAAACATGCAGAGGCCTCCGGAGGAGCCGGGGGTCCAGGTCAGACCTCAGCCCATAGGGCTCGGCTGCCAGAGGGCTCCAGGTTATCCTGGAGGACCATGAGCCCAAAATACACCCGTGCCACTGCCCCATGGCACCCTCCTCACCTCAGCAATGTCTGCCCAGCCTCGGCATCGTCGTACGTGTCCTCCTGCGAGACGGTGGCTGCCACCCAAACATCCAGCACGGCAACAGGTTTGAAAAGACAGTTCTGAGTGGTGCAGTCAAAGCAATTTATTGGGAAAGAAGATGGGTAGGGCAGATGCATGTCTAGCACTTACCTAAATTTGGTACCGAGCTGGAAAGCAATCTGAGGATAGAAAGAGGCTTTTAGAAACACGTTTGCACATGGACATCACCAAAGAAGAGCTGCAAAGACGCGACAAGCAGCACAAGCTTGCGACACCGCTGGTCAACGGGAGCAGCTAGCTTCTTTTAAAGCAAATTCAAAACTTTCCAGGTTCTTCCCCAAAGAAACAAGGACAAGCTGCACTCGCCAGGCTCCAGGGTGAGGGCCATGCTGGCGCAGGGTGGCTCTGCAGGCGGCTACGAAGGAGTTTGTCACAGTGTGTGCTGAGTCACTTCTGGAGCCTAGGCCAGTGTTTTGGTTATGAAACTAAGAGGGCCCCAAAGGGTACTATGGGAGGTTAAACAATATCCCCTCTTTGGCTCCCTGCTCGCTTGCTGGACCAAAGGCCCAACAGAAATCTGCTCCAGTGGATGCTGCTGCCAGCCTGCCTGTGAACAGCACTAAAAATAAAATAAAACCCTCAGCCCAGCAGAGCCACATGGGCCTTTGCCTAATCCCGGCCTCCACACGCTTGGCCTTCAAGCTTCCATGTTCCCTGCATCGTGCTCCTGCATCGTGTTGAGGTCCCAGAGAGGCACAACGGGCAGCAGAAACCCTCTGAGCACCAGCAGCTGCTGCAGCCTTCGAGGGGCAGGTATTTCGGAGAAGATACCCAAAACAGGACATGGGCACACATGGACCAGTGCCCAGGTCTGCCGTAGCAGATCCTCATGTGAGGACAGAAGCAATTTTGCAGGGATTTTCCAAATAAAGCTGGGTTCTTTACCCCCAGACATCCTGCTCTCAAATTATTGCAAATATGGGAGCTCAGATTTGGAGGGGGAAGGGGTTATGCAACATTTTCTTACCTTAAATTTTCCTTGAACCTGGTGTTCTTCAGTTTAAATTTTTCCATCTTCAACATGTTTCCAAACCTCTTTTGCTTTTCTGCCCTGCGCAAAATAAGAAAGAGACTTTAAGAGGAACTAGAGCCTGAAATATGAGAGACCCGCAGAATCCTGGCTTCAAGCCCTAATGCCACCACACAGATGAGTGATGGGTTCAGCATGATGGGTAGAGGAAGAGGATAAAACGCTTAATTATAAAAAGTTGAGCTCAAATCTTTTGCTTAACCCTAAAATTGGCTGTTAACTAAAGCTGGAATTGCCTCCATCACAGCAGAATTCCCTTCTCTGCAACACAAATACAGAATTATCCAGGTTTATTTGGACATATGGAGGTTCCCCGGCAGCGTTTAGTGAAAACAGCAGCTTCAGAAGACTTTGTTTCTGGGCCACCCTTGGTCACATATTTCTGCTGCGTAGGCCCTCGAGCAGGACGATCCCTCCCTGCGCTTCCCTCGGAGGCTTCGGAAGGGGCTGCAAAGCCCCAGGGATTGCACGATAAAGGGTCTGCAAAGCAGCAAGATCCCCACGTGGGAGATATTAAACATGCACATGCACTATTAAAAATACTTTTTGTGCATGAGCACAGCTAATCCTGAACATGGGCCTGATAGAAAGCTTATGTCAAGAGGGCCAGGAGGATTAAGATCCTGCATGGGGAACTCGGAGAATGTGGTTCCAGCCTGGTTTTGTCATGGAACTCCCTTGCAGATACCACCATGATCCCTGTTCCTCTATTTCCCTTCGAATTAGCAATAAAGTTTAATTTCCGCCACTGCTCAACACAGTGTATTTCTGCAGAGGAGGTGCAGAATGGAAAAGGAGTGTGGTCTTCACGGCAGCACACAGCAACAAGGAGACAAGAAAGCACAGTAAAATGGGAAAGATGGACAGGTTTGGGTGCTGGGCATAGTCTGACACCCACAGGCAGTGTGTGCACGTGAGCTCCACTTGAGCCCGTGTCCGTAATGGGAAAGGAGATGTGCAGAAACCTGGTGCTGCTCCGTGGAAAACAGCCACCAGACACATCCAGCATCTCCAGCCCTGTTCCCTGAATTGTGGGCATTTAACATAAGCATTATCTCTTTTGGCGCGAAGGATTGCAAAACTTTCCTGGGCATTTGATGCAAGCAGAAGTAACTTAACATTAAGAAAAGTGCTTCCAAGGAGGGAGAGGGCTACAGGCTCTAACAGGAAGCCTTCAGAGTTACTCATAGGTAACTATTTTTTGTTCCTTAAGTGTCAGCCAGTAGAGGAAAGGGGCAGAGAGGGAAAGCAAGCCACCCATGTAGTATCTTCTCTACGGTGGCACTAGAAATAAAAACTTCCAGTCAGTACCTGGCATATGGGATCAAGGAAGTATGGCCAGGATTTTCAAACAGAGGCTAATAAACAGCAACTTACTCCACTTTAGCTGGATTCCCACCCACAGTCTCAACATCTTCATATGTTTCTTCATAGTCTCCTGAAATTCAAAGCCAAGGAATGCCATTATCACGAACCCTGTTCAGTAGTGATGGGTTGAGGCCTGACGGACAAATTGCATTCAGGCCACGCTACTTTACCCTTGCAGAGCCTTCCAAGGCAGCCAAATTAGTTCCAGGCTAGACATGTGCATAGCTCCCCAATGGTTATAACAGGGATTTAGAGCAACTGAGCTAGCAGGAGCCACTGGAGATGCTGCATGTCAAATGAAGTGTCCACCTCACCTAAGAGGCACCTGCTCAAACGCAAAGCAGTCCCAGGTCAAGCTTCCCAGCGCCGGGGAACCGAACTTACCGCTGTCTGGAGCCAGCGAACTGAGGGCCTCCGAAGGGTGACTGCTACGAGACAAGAGAGAGGATCTGCATCCGTATCTGCGGCAGCTTCCAAAAGTCATGGTGCAGGGCCTGGTCCATACTCACAGTCTGCTTTGCAATCCCTCCACGTCGTCATACAAATCCTCCGATGGCTGCAGACGCTGCTCAGTGTCCTGGCTCAATACTGTTCTTCTTCCAGCTGGTTTTGGAGCATCTACATGCACGTAGCACAACAGAAAGGAGAAAGGGTCTGTACTTTAGAAGATTTTCCGAGCAATACCTTATATATAGGTCAGAGTTCCTTGATCATAAATAAGACCTTTTAGACAATTTTCTATATCCAGGGAAGTCTTTGTTCTGAAGCACTTTGAGAAAGGAAAGCAAAAAGCTTTAAAAACATTTTTAGAAGCTTTAAAAGTGTACTTTAACACATTCATCAATATTTACAGTTGCAGGAGCTCTGAGTCAAATCCTCCTCACCCAAAAACCTCCTAAGATACTATTCGTGGATGTTCACTGAAGTGACTGAGAGGTTTATGGATGGTAGAGCTGCTAAGATCCGAGCAATCGGACAGTCCCGCAGGAATATGCCTTTAAACTGATGTGCTGGCAAGGAGATAAGGTGAGAGATTCTCCCAAAAATGTATTCATTTCATCGCGTGGTGAAAATAGGGGAGAGCAAATGGGTGCAATTCTTATTGCACCTCATCTAATCTCATGTAGTGAGATTAGAAGATTATTACTAGAAGACTCTGTTACGATGGCAATAGTAAATCATTACTCAAGGCTTCTTTTAAATTCGTTAATGTAGAAATGTAGTCGCACAAATAAAAACATAAACTGTTTCTAAGCAAGCATAGGCACATGCTGATCTCACCATGAGTGTTTGACACCAGAAGGTGCTGCAGCTCATGACCAATATCTGCAGGATGCTCCTGCAACACAAGTCAGCAGAGAAGGGAAGGATAATGGGGAAAAAATGCAGTTCTCAGAATCAGCTTATCTGGTCTCTCTTGGTAAAGCAATAGCAAGTCAACCTGGGAATGCTTTGGAAGAAGAAATCCTACCAGAAATTACTTCTAGCCTTCACCAGGCAATCAAGCTGCCAGGTTGCTTACAAAAAGAGACACCAAGCAAACAGAAAATTTCTATGAAATGATTTAAAATAAAATAAAAGAAAAGAAATCTCAAGGACCAAATCAATATAAGCAGTTCCAGCCATAATCAATTTAGAAGCTGCAGAATCATGTTCACTTGGAGGAAATATGACTGGTTTGAACTGTGCCAGCTCTGGACTCTATCTCAGAGCATCCTGACGGGCAGGGGAAGCCCAAGGTCAGATACCGAAACAGTAAAAAAGCAGCTCGTTGGAACCACTAAGAAGACAGAGCACGGAGCCATCCATCTTAATAAGGGGCAGGGGCACAGGGGGGACGTCAGGCTCTTGTCCTGCTCACGTGTGTCTCCACCACAAGCCGCAGCCAAACACGTTTCTGAGACTCAATAAATTACGAGAAGCAGAGGAGATGGATTTCAGCTCTCGCGGATAAGGGCAATCTGCTAGAAAAACAAACACCCCGCTCTGAGTTATGCAGATGGTTAACCAACTTAGGAAGCTATTTGCAAAGCCAAAATAAATGATTCAGACCAGAATACAAATGTGCACGCAACCTCTTGCCCTGGTTTAACTAAATTGGTTCAAGAGTTGCATCCAAATTTAACATCTTTTCCGTATGGAAGAGACATTTGGGCAACAGATGGGATCAAGGGGGTGAGGAGACTCTCCAGAAAGCCCCAGGACACTCACAGCGTCCTGCTCCATCTCTTGCCAGCCCTTGCAGGTCAGGATGGTTCAGAGCCTGGGCGCTCGTCACATCTCCATGCTTCACTTGTGCCACCTTCTTCCCACCTCTACCATCTTGCTTGGGTTGGGCACTGGGAGCCACGTCGTTGTTTCCACCTATCTGGGATCAGACATGTGGTTCAGGTGACACAGTATTTAGGAACAGATTCCTAGAATACAAGTTTGTCTCCCTGTCAGGCTAGAACGGTTTCACACCCTTTCCCAATGGGGATTTTTAATAGGTGTAGATGTTGCTTGGCAACATTAGATGTCTTTTAGGCAGTTTCAGCTATACAACAGGCAGGTAAAAGAGAAGATAGAAAAAGGAGATGATTAAGGACTCTAAATATTTGCATGTCTTTGTTGAAGAGATGAAGAACAGAAGAGGAAGGAGCAAACTACATTAACTATTAAAAGGAATCTCAGGGGCACGATACCTTGAATATTATATTTGCTTGCTGTTTCTCTCTTTCAAGTCTTCTTTTTTCCTCATTTTCACCCTTGACAGCATTTCCAGGACTGAAAATTTAGGCAATGACAATGAATTCAGAACAGAGATGCTCTAGCAAAGTCACAAACAGATTTTGTGTGACTGCATCTAAATAAGCAGTTCATTTTCCTTTTGACCAAGGTTGGAGTTACCATAACTACCAACTACCAACTAGTACCAAGTAGTACTAGAAACCAGGGCAAAGACAAATGTAAAGGACACTGGTGACTTGGGGTGGTCACTTTTTGATGAGACACACTGGGATCAGTCTATTTTCTAGGAGCAGGAACATACAACTGTTTGCCCATGGTCATATCTGTCTCATGGGCCATGCAATTTTGCTATCTAGGAAAGAAAATGCAGCAACAGGACTAAAAAACAGAGTAGGTTTTCTCAGACATCACAACACATCTCAGGCAAGTGTCTAGAAGTGAGCCCTTTTATCACATGCTTCTTCAATCACTATTGAAAAAAACAGCAAGTGCTTTTAATTACTCTTAATTACAGTAATTAAACACTGTGAGGAGCTGGAAGCATCATTTATGTTTGACACAAGCGAGGTGAAATTTGGTGTCGTCCTTGTCTTACTGCACCGCTTTGGACTTGAGACCAGCTCTCCCAGTATCTTAATTCTCCTTTCTTATGCTGAAGAAGGTCAGATTTCAGTAAGAAAAGACAATTTATTTTTTGTGCCAGAGGAAAGAAAAAGAAATTCCTTCAATACATATGCTTTGGACTGAAAACAATTTTTGAGACATGCATGCCAACACAGAGCAGTAAGATCTACTGCAGTGGTCACATCCTGGTCACGAATGATTTTAGGAGTATTACAGTCTTTTTACCCTAATGGACCTTAATCTCAGGGTGGTAAGAGAGAAAGGGAGAGAAAGGATAGGAAATTACCTGGATTTGACAAAGAGAGCACTCTTCTGCTTCTAGAACAAAGAAGAGGAAAGCCTTCAGCCTCCGCACTTTTTGTAACAGAGTCAAACTTTCAAACAAGGCCTCTCCTGTCATCTAGTATTTAAAAAAGTATTTCTTTAGAAAGCCCAGAAGTGTTTTACATTTGGAATACTCATCAGTCAAAGACATTTCCCCTACTTGCCAGGGTAGGGGATAGACGTGTTGATCAACTCTATAGGGATAATATGAAAACGCAAGGGATTGGTCCAGTGAAGTTACTCATCAGCATGAAAGCAATTTTAGGCTGGAGGGCTTACAGAAGAGGAGGAAGGGGGATGTTTTGTTACTTAAAATATATTTTTTCCAACCTTTCATAAAATAAGAATACAGAGAAGCCAGAGCACCTCTCTGCAAATCATGTATATATAAGTGCATTTGGAACCCTGTGCTATTTACTGGTCAACTTGATCACTTTGCAAGTCAGCACCCAAGTTTGGAACGTGACCTTCTTCCGAAGAGCAGCTTTCCCCATCCTTCCCCAGAGCCAGGACCATACTCAGTGAATCATATGGTGACTTGGTATCCTCCCCCAGCCACCCACCACTAGCTATGGCTCTACCTGAGGCTCCACTTTGGAGGCTGCAGCAGCCCTTGCCTTCCCTTGAGCAGCCCTCCTGCCTTCACTGCAGGGAACCCTCAGCTGCTCGCTGCTCTACCAAGGTGCATGGTCATGTTTTCACTAGGGAATATCCAAGAAAAGCCAGGACGTATCCTGCAGCAGAGAGATCCCTGCAGAAAGGGGCAATACCCTCTGTGATCTTTCCTGCAAAAATTGCCCTCACTCATGAAGTAAAGCTTGAAGCAAGGAAGCTCCCAGAATTTTGCTGTCGAAGGAATACCAGCAGCAACCTGCTTTTGGCAGGAGTCTCCAGAACAACCCAGTGCTGTTTCCCCTAAAGAATTTATAATCTCCTTGATAGACATGCTTGGCGCGCGTTTGGTCTGCCACCCACATTCAGACAACATTACTCCTTTCATACATGTTTACAGGGGAAGTCAAGGCAACTGGTTCTCCTCCCTAAGTGCATTTGGAAAAGCTCATTAATTCTCATGCCCCCCTCTGCAATCTGTGATTTATTCTTTCAGAGTCTTTACAGACGAAAATCCTAAAGATATACTTGGCAGACACCAGATACAAATATTAAAAGTTTTTAAGGAGGCAAAGCATAGTCAAGTCTGAAATTTCAAGACAGGCTGGGAGGAGACCTACCTTGTCGTGCTCTGGAGGCTCTTGCTCAGGTTCTAGAGGAGAGATATTAGAACAGATAATACTTTTTAGCGGGCTTTAAGGCCACTGTACTTTAAGGTGCACAACCCGACTCTGCCACATGCTCTACAACTGGACACATGGGTAGCATCTCATCACTTTTCCCTACTGCAGTTTTACTGTAGGCCTTACCTCAGCACCAAAACACTAATTTCTCTGCCCAAAGTCCTCATACCCTGCCAGTGCTTGGAGGGGAAGGTGAGCATAGTCATCTATGGTCACACAGGCTGATGCACAGCTGTGTTTCTGAGCTTGAAGGAACTATATTACTTCCTTTAAAGGCTCTATCTGAGACAGCACGTGCTCAGCCTGGAAGTCTTGCCTTGGAAAGCACCTTGACCGGCACACGGGCTTGTGGAGTCCCCAGACTGATTCAGGTACAACACCGTGTCTTCGTAATCATGCTGCTCCTCAAGTTCAGCACTGAGGGGGCAAGAGCAAAGAGAAAAAAAGGTGGTTTTCTTTTTTTTTTCCTAGACTTCGTAGAAATCAGAGAAAATAATGCATTTTGAGGACAAGAAATCAAAGTACTTCTTTGATATAGTGCTTACTAGAAATAGTGGGATTGGAAATTTCTACAAAAGAAGGGAGAACAGTGCCAGATAAAGCAGGTCTTTCGGTGACTGCCAGCCACTGCTTGTCCTTGGAGAGGACAGACGAGGTCTGCAGGGCTCCAAGTGCACCCCAGGACCCCGTGCTGGGCCTGCTGTCCTCCACCTACAGAGCTTCTCCAAGTCAAAAGGGAATGAAGAGCCCCAGGAAATTTGAGTGTCTCATTTTTCAAACCTGACACAGTTACTTAAAAAATTAATGATAACCTAGCCACACTGTTTTGCAGACTATTTCTCACCTAAAGAAACACACAGGGGGAAAAAAATAATATCAGAGGGTACATATAGCAGTTCTGCTTCCCTAATGAGCGAGGCAAGCAGTGCTCCCAGGACGGCTGGATGTCTCGGCCTGGCACAGGCCACCAGAGACAACCCCGCGGGCAGGGACAGGCTGACACAGGGACAGGCTATTGCATATGTAATATGCAAGCACATATATAATATATGGCTGGGCTTGCTCAGTCTCCTTGCAGCCCCAGGGCAGGTCTGCCTTGTTGGGACCACAGAGCACAGCTCAGTATCCAAAGGGTGGGATGGCCAGAGATGCAATAGCTGCATTGCTCATTTTGAGGCCACTCCCGGGGAATTTTGGCCCACAGAAACCAATCATTCCACTTCTACCTGGAATTCTCATTCCGCTTTTACCTGGAATTCATGTATACAACTTCCCCAGGTTATCACGTGGCTAATATTTAACAAGTGAACTACAGTAAAGACCATATCAGAAGAATTAGGGTAAGATAACTAATCTTGCAGCAATGTACTGCTAGGACAACTTCCTTGTGGGGCATGACAGTTACACTGCCAGCATACAGCACGTCCCAGAGAAAGTTTCCTTCCACTTCACTCGCAAAAGAAAACTGAGTTAATTTATAAGCTTACAGAACACCTGTATTTTGGCCAGATCTCTTCTGAAAAGTACAGGTTAAAAGTTAAACAAAACACTACCCAACACTGTCAGGAACATGTGGAAAATACAATGTATTCTGTTGCTAGCAGCAAGAGTTCATTGTGCACAGAGAAGATCTTAAGAACTTGACCTTTTTGTTGTTTTAATTTGGTCATTCTGCCTCCCACTTTCACATATATACAGTCTCACATCCAAGACAAAGTACATATAGGAATAACTCTTCAAACCAGAGCTGTCCACTTTCTGTTTGCTGAGTAAAGAACCAGGAACACCATATAACTCCTTATGACAAGTCACAGACATTCCAGAAAAGAATTGTGATCCCCTTGTGTACACACACTACCATACTTATAAGATTTTTGAGCAATTTCAGATATTTGCTGTGTTAAGAACCGGAACCAAGCAGCTCAGTGATCCGATGAATTTGGCAAGCTCTTCTCCCGTTTCAGTGCTAAAATCCCCTTTAGCTGTTCTGATCCTATTCCTCCTCTGGCATCTCAGCCAGGTCCTCATCCATGCTTTGCTTTTATGCTACTGAAGTGCCATTACCAACAAAATATCAATAAGATACTGGCTGGACTATGCATTTAAATATACTGGGAGATCATAGATTTCTTAATCAAGGCTCTTGCATGAAGCAGCCCTGGTTCAGAGATGTTCATCACCATGTCCTCTGCCAAGCTTGACCTCGGAGTGACAGGCATGGGGACAAGTGCTCAAGCAGGCGAGGGCTCTGCTTGCTGCATAAACACATGCAAGAGCAAAATCCTTTTCTGCTGCCCGCTAGCACCTGCTGATTACGCTCGAGCTTTGTTTCAGCAACAGGTCTCAACAGCATCTCTTTTCTACAAACACCAGCCTTGAGTACATGGAAAACAGGAAGGGAGAAATGCACAATGTGTGGGTAGTGAATGATCTCTGAAACCACACTGTTAGCAGACAGAAAAGACGCAGTGTTTTCCTTGCCACCAGCTAAATGAGACCCAATGACACAAGTAACCCAGAGGGCAGGCCCCTCAGCACTGCCTTGGGAGGCTGGAGGAGGAGGAAACAGGGACAAAACTTTGTGTTTTAGGGAAAGGTCATCTCAGCAAGCTTCTAGCAGGCTCAGAGGTCCCAGCAAGAAGCACAACAGCCATGCCCTGGGCAGAGGCAAGCGTCTGGCTTTCAATAAAGCTCTGAAATGGGGCTCCAGATTCTACCTTAAATAAGAGGCTCCAGCCCTCTGCAGATATGAGAATGAAATGCCATCATGAATTATAGTAATGGAGGGGGACATCACCTAGGGAGTCCCAAAACACATTGCACAGATGGTGCAGTGACCTCAGGCTTCTTCCAGCATCCATCAGGAGATGGAGACACTTCTGCTCTATGAACCCGACTTACCCACTTACCTTCTAGGAGTCGAGGGATCCTCCTCCACAGCAGCTGCACACAAACACAAACAAGAAGAAATTTAGTGTTTGGAGCGCTGCCCACAGTGCTTTTCTACAGAAAACAGGGCTGAGTGACAAGGAGGTGTGACAAGGAGGACTCGTCCTCGAGGCAAAGCCTGGCATGACACAAGATGCCCAGCACCATCAGTGGTGTTATTTCATGTTCCCTTCTAGGAGATCAATGACTGAGCAATAGTGCAAGGACAGGGAGAGGATGACACAGGAACCTAACTAATTTATTTCCTTTGTCACATTAAAATATTGAGAAAAGGCAAGTATACCCAAAAAGAGTTTCAGCAACATGTTTTCTCTTTGACCATTACCCCGAATAGACCAGTAAGCACAGCAAAGCCAACGAGATTTTAGTCAAACCCTTCTTAAATGTGCATGCATTTTCTTTTGACTTCAGCAAACACTGTCCTTAAATATCTGGGGATAATTAAGCCTGTATCTACAAAGAGGCAACATTTGGCAGCTTAATAAGCCACCCAGAATATTCTATTATGCAACATCAGTAAGTTTTTATTATGGGGAACTGAGATTTTGGTGTTTCTTGATGTTGGAAGGCTTAAAGATGTTGCCCTCTGACTGTATTTAAAGCATAAAAAGGAGGATTAGCAGAGCAATTTCTCCTGGTTTTACTGGGGCTTCCCCAATTGCATTCTCGGCTGCACTGGAATTTCACATGGAAGCAGAGCAATAAAGATCAGCTTGCGGCCCAAGCAGCTGCTCTTGTTTTACAGCCAGCTGTAAATTGCTCAGAACACATGGGTGCTGCAGTCCATAGGGAATGGGGTTTTCTGTATTGTGGATGAGATCCAATGTGGAAAAAAAACATATATTTTTTCTGAATTAATAACAAAAAGAGTATATATACGTACATACATATACATATACATATATATATATATATATATATATATATATGGAGTTTCATTGAAGATGCTGGGTTCTTTATCAGGTTTGAAGAAGATGTTAGAAACAAGCCAAAAGGGCACCACCCTTGCAAGAGAGCAGCTGCTCAGGGTCACAGCCATTGAGATGCGGATAAATTGCACAAGTTTGTATTCATTTTGTGTAAAGCTCATTTTGGGGAGAAAGGCAAAAAAAAAGGTCTCTTACTTCTTCCCTTTTGCGCGTGGGCAGAAGGCACATTGCTGCGGAAGGCCCCCAGATCCACTCTCGGGGGTCTCGCGGGCTTGGCAGGGGCAGGACCCAGGGATGCGATGGGAGGAAGCGGTTTCCTTTTTGGCAGGCTGCTCTGCGGAGCTTTGGATGCTTTTCCCACTCCAGATTCAAAGCAGGGAGGCTCCAGCTCTGCTTCAAAGCACCACCAGGCAGTTACCACCCCCCCATGCAGGATCATTCATTACTTGTCCATGTACTTCAGTGAAAGAAACCCTTCAAGGAGGCTGCACGCCCCGAGTTCACACAGGGTTATCCTCCCCAAGAGCAAAACCTTTGCAGACCTTTGTAGGTCTACAAGAAACCAAGCCACATGGCATGGGCATATTCATCTGCTCTTTCCTGCTTTCTGCCAAAGGCCAAAGCAAACCAAAATTCAAGACATTCGTCCCACCCATCATCCAGTGCCTGGAATTTGGGCAATTCCTTTTAAGTTCCTCAAGGAGTGTTTTGTGCTATCATTGCTTACTCCATCAAACAGTGGGGATGGAGGACCCTCACTTTATCCAAGCTTGGGGCTCTTTGGGGCTGGTTTCGCATCTTCAGGCTTTGTCCTAGGATCTAACCCGACCTCTTGTTTTGAGGGTCCTGATTCATAGCAATATTTCACCCCAACACCTCGAGCAGTATCTGCTGTCACAGAGCACCACGAGAAAGGAAAGCTTTTATGAGGATGCTCCTTGATGCCACCAACATCCCACCAGAGAGGCCAGCTCACCCCAAGCCACCTCTCCGAGCTGGAAGAGAGCGCTGCGCCATATAAGATACACATACATATATTTATAGATTTAAATATTTATATGTTTGCATGCTTAGTGTTAAGAACTTGGCTTACTATACCTTCCTGGTGCTGAGGGAGTTCTCTTGGTGTCTGCACATCATAACCTGGCTGGCAGGAGCTGCTTGCAGCAGTGCTTTCGGCAGCCAGTTGGTCGCAGCTCCGGCACCTCCTGGGCACACGGGGCAGAGCTGGAGCTGGGGAAGCGGCCGTCCCGCTGCCACGTGGAGCACCCTTCTGCCATGCAGGGACGTCCAGGGCTTGCTCGCTCTGAGCTGTCCTCATCCTAGTGCCATCCGTCGTGGCCAGGGTGCCCATCGCCCGTGGCATCGGGCGAGGCTGCACGTAAATGTTTGCTCCCCGTTGGGTTGGGAGCGTTGCACTGGCTTTTTCATTCCAGAATAAAGCATCTTCCCATACCTGAAGGACACGGTCGAAGGAGTTTGGGGATGGAGAAGACTCCAGATCTTGCTGCTCGAAGCAAAAGGGCGGTCGAGGCTTTTGTGAGCTGCTCTTGGAGTGGTTCATCTCTTCCCCCAAGATGTTGCCTTTCTGCTCTTCAATCTTCCCCCTCGCACCCACGTTAGCATGCCTGGCTCTTGGCTGCACCAAAGGTTTGCTCCGGACTAGTCTAGAGGGTTGAGGAGCCCCTCGGGGCTGAGGAGGGAAAGGGTCATTCTTGCCTTTTGATATTATCATCTTTCTCCTATCCAAGGGCTGAGGACTGGCAGCATCCCCACTTTTGGAGCCCAGTGTTTGCGTGGCTTCCACAGGTGGTGGCACCAGCCTCTCATGCGACTGCAGCAGCTGCCTGGAGAAGTTGGCATCGCTCTGAAACTTGGCGCGGAGGGCCCTGAAGTCAGTGCCACGTTCCTAGGGGGTAGAAGAGCACAAAAATGCCCATGGTCAGCTGGCAACGGGCAAGGGCCAGGAGCCTTTCAGAGGGGATGTGCACCGAGGGCAGGTACAGATAGGAAAGCAGGAGAGGTGGATTAGACGTCATCCAAACAGCAAAAGTGGGAGACGGGAGGGGTTGTCACCTGACAGGACATGGGGACAACCCAGGAACAACAGCCACAGGGCACCCAGGGCACCCACCACAACATATTGATGAAGGCTCCTCACTTCCATCCTCTTACTGGGACCCCAACTCCTCCGTGACACCCTAGTTTAAAAGCGCATTAACATCGTTTCGCCTTTTTTTCCCCCCAAGGCGTCTCACTGTTCTACATTGAAAAAAACCCATAATACCTGCAAAACCAGGGCTTAAATTCAGCCCCAAACTGAACTGAGGAGAAAATATGAAGAAAAAATCTATGAGCTACTTAAGTCCTCGAACTGCTCTATAAGTTTTTACACACTGTGATTACATTAGGTGCACTGCTCCGGCAGCTGAGTTCAGTGCGGAGCGCGGTAACGCTGAGCGAGAACCTGTCTAATGAGGAAATTGGAAAAAATTATCTAGGACAGAACTTCGTTATTCCGAAAAAAGCCCCAGCCCTAAGTGTTAAGGCAGGACAGATGAATAGCATACTGAGGTTTTATTGCGTTTAATTGCACAATTTATTAAACACTGACAATTTCTCTTGAATAACCCCTTTCACTAACTTTATTACTTTCACAGGGTAGTGCATGATGTAAAGAAACAGCCCCTGGAGGAGAGGTTTGAATTGCTCTAATTATATTTCATATTAGTGGTCAGCAGCTGGATGTGGGGTAAGCTGCCCAGATAGTCTAATCTAGAAGAGAGCCTATGGGGAATAGGAGTTTCAGAAGCATAGAGAGGATGAATCCGATAAATAAAATAAAATAAAATAAAATAAAATAAAATAAAATAAAATAAAATAAAATAAAATAAAATAAAATAAAATAAAATAAAATAAAATAAAATAAAATTCCCACATATGCCAGAGCACTGCAGCCATGCCAGCCAGTAAATGGAGCGGAGCAAGGTGCCCTGATACTGTTGCAGCGTAGCAGGCGGGGAGCTCAGTATCATTTCCTTCTCCTTGCTGTTTTTTGTTTGCAATCCCTCCTCAAGGAAACCTTGGGACAACAAGGCAGGTTTCGGGCAAGCCTTTCCTTGCCTCCCGCGGGGCAGAGACGGCCGTGACAGCATTTTGGCATGGCCTTGCTTGTAGTTAAACGGCAATGGGTGCCAGCCTCCCTTCCTTCCCTGTTTGCTTTGCTATTCTGATCGCTGGAAAATGGTATTTCTTTAAAGCATTTTGCACGATTAACTGGGAGGTAACCTGGGGCCCACAGCTAAAATATGGCTTTCCAAATCGTTCCCTGCAAATAACATTTGCATTTGGCAAAAGGAGGGGGAAGGAAGCTCCGGCCAAGAGGACTCGAGCTCTCCTGAGCTTTCTGCAAACACACCAAAACCCACCAACCCGCTCCCAAAACCGGCCTGTTCGGTGTGTTTGATCCCGGGTTTTGCAAGGCCGTGGCTCTGGGTAAATGTTTAAGCCCGTGACGCCTGATGACCGCCCAGATAGCTGGCCACTTTTCCCTGGAAAACTGCATGTCCACGGTCAGTGCAGCGAGAGGGGCAAGTGCAGCTCATTGCACAGCCCGGAGAGAAACAGGGCCCATTTTTGCTCCCATTCCGTGATGGAAGAGCCACAAGACCCCCCCATTGAGCAGCATCCCACCATAACCACGGAGAGACCGCGGAGAGACCCCCCGGACCCGCCACGCCGAGGCAGAGGATGGAGCAGCGAAGGCTCCGCGGGGGAAAGGGGAGAGGCGCCCGCGGGGACGGGACGTTACCGCGGCCATGGCTGCCGCCTCCGTGCGATCCGGCGTCCGGCGGCGGCGGCGGCAGGCGGAGCGGAGCAGAGCGGAGCTGCCTCCGCACCTGGGCCAAAGGCCAGGCCAGCCCCCGGGGAGGGCAGAGCTGCCAGCCCTCCCGCGCACGCACCGGTCCTGGCGTGCAGGAACGCATGCATGTGCACATACTTATACACATATATACATGCGTACATATAAAACATATTTATATCTGCATAAATACAGGTTTTATATAGCATGCACCAGTCCTATGCATGCAGGAACACATGCACGTGCATATATACGCAAGCATATACATATATATGCATGCACATACACATGCATACATATAAAGCATATTTATATGTACATAAATACATGTATATGTTTTATATAGCATGCACCGGTCATATGCACGCAAGAACACATGCACGTGCATATACATGCACGTATATACACATATACCTGCAAACATATAATGCATTTATATATATATATAATTACATGTATGTGTGTGTGTGTATATATATATATATATGTATATATAACACATTTGATTTTATATATTTAGTTTTTAATATAAAAACAAGACGTACCCAAGGGCTGGATTCTTCCATATAGTCTCTAAAAACCTAAAAACGCAAAGATAGACACGCGAAGTGCTGACCCAGCACTGGAGCTCCCAGGAGCAGCCCCAACGCTATAAAACCCAATGTCATATATTATATATTTGTCCTATAGCATGTAGTATAGGCATGTATTTTTTTTTCTCCCGGATTTCACCACAGTCTCATGACAGACCAGAGGGCACAGGAGGAGCTTTGCTTGCTCCCATCTTTCAGTCTCTCGGAAAGGGGCTCAGCACAACTTGGGAAGTTTTAGGGCAATTCATCTTTTGATTTTTTTTCTGTATTTAGGTACTGCCTGTGACCTCATTGCTGACAACAGCAATTAGTTAGTGACCCACTGGTGTCGGGATGGAGCATATTGTGGCTGAAGGGAAGGTCCATGTACCTGGCAAGACACCTCCGAAGCAAAGAAAAGGGCAGAAGATGCATCCCCAGGAAGGCAGCGAGTACCGTTCCTGCCTGGCACGCGGCTGTATCCCGGCTTTCCAGCAGAGGGAGGGATAGGATCACTTGTTCACTTGCAGAGTCCCTCATCTGCTCAGAAACCCTGGAATTAACAAGAAATTTAAGAAAATGCAGTATTATTGATGCCTCTATAATGCTTGCACTGGGCATGACCAAGCATGCTCAGGAGGGGGCTGAGCCAGCTCTGCATGCGGCTCTTTCCCAAGTTTTAATATTGGCCTCCCCAAAGCACCATAGCAGCAGAGAAGAACTTAAAACCCTTGGGATGTTGCAGGATTTTTTTATCTGCCCAGTTTTCAGCATTGTCTCTGCTCTACGGCCCTGGCCCCACACACACATTAGGTCGTGCTTCTTTATAATCATTATACCCAACACGAATGCTCACGTTTTTAAGGCCAAACGTGTTTCCTTTGGTCCAATGAGTATTACGGCTCCAATTTGGTAGTTGTTGTTAAAGGCAAGGGAAGGACCCGAGTGCTGGGGAAGTGACTTTGCTTGTTGCCACCAACCACTGAAACCCCTTGGGCTAGAACTGAGCACAGCCATGACCGCAGGGGACCAGGATTGGTCACGCTGAGCTAATTTGCCCCTAGTCTTGGGCCAGACTCTGGCTGGCGCCGCTGGGTTTGGGTTTAATACCAGCTTTTAAAGAAAAGCTTGCTTGAGCTCTTGCTGCGTAGGCAAAAGAAGAAAGATTTTTTGACCTCGTTTAAAATATGCTGGGAGATTATATTGAAACTTCCTCCAAGGTCACAAAAAAAGGCAGTTTTTGTTTTATTTCACTGCAAAATTTACCCAAGCGGTCCCTTTCTTCTAGTTTTGCTAAAACAAGCCTTGGCATCATTCTGAACTTCAGTTATTTTAGAATAACACAGTAAGAGATCCTTAGATTTTGATAATTTACAACAGTGGCTATTGAAACGAGCACTGTGATTCATTTGGGGAATAAAAGTGACGCTTCCATCCCAGTCTTCTCTGGACAGGGGACAATTCTCTCTCTGTGTAATAGCAGCACTAGCTCAGGAGCAGATTCACCAGCAATAATTACCCTTTCCCTGGAATTTATTGAGGTCCAGACCTCCGGCAGCTGCTGGAAACCTGCTGGTAACCCAGGAGCCCCCTTGGCCCATTTTGGCAGAAGAAGAAAAGCTGGGAGCTGCAGACACTTGCAATGCAGAGAAGTGTCCATAGGTAACATGTATTTATTTATTTATCTTGCTAGCATGTAGATGCATTACAGGGGTTTTTGTGCATGTGTGCTCTTGCCTTGGAACCTATGAAGGAGACTTTGCAGTGACATGCAAGCCCATGGAAACAGGCATGGGGCATCTTGGGCTAAGCATGACTGGCTGCCTTCAAAAGGCCATTTTCCCTCGCAACAGCTAATAATGCAATATTCTTGCATTTTGACTATTACCTTCATAATCAGTAGCCTGTGGTGCTGTCCCTCTGGTTGGCTTGATTCTCCCGTCTTTATGCACATGGATGCTGCTACATCTGTGTTGAGATCCCAACTGGCTAAAAGCACTAGAGCCACCACAGCCTGATGGGCTCACACAGCACATGGGAGAGGGCACAAGCTCAGGTTTGGGGGGCATCTTATGCCAGATTGTGTTAGAAAACCAAGATTTAGATTCTCATGTTGCAATGACTATATAGGACCAACTGAAAGCTATTTGGAGCCAAGCAACAGCTCACATCAGCTTTGGATATGGGAAGCTACGTTATAGAGATGGCAATGGGGGAAAGAAAATGAATCAACATTTGACTATCTGAATGGCATGTGGCCTTTTCTGTTCCTCATAGCAGAATTCTTCGTTAACCACCAGTGCTGGAAAGGTCTCCCTGGTCAAGCACCAAGCAAACACCAGAACCACACAGACGCTGCAGTGGGAAATCACCAGAGTTTCCTGCTCATTCCAGCTGGATGGAGAGCTGCAGGCTGGACAAGAAACACCAGTCGCACAGTAGGACTCCCTTGGCTTCCATGGAGAAACAGTTGCACAGGTTGATATATATCCCCTTGCCAGAAATCTGGAAATTTGTCCCCAAAGGTTAAAGGCCTTCAGGAGATGTCCTCATTTCCTGTGATTTGACCCGAGCCCTTGTCAATGATTTACTACAGCATTTGAGAGGCTGGTGGGCTCGACACGTCTTCCAGTAGCATTGACACCAAAGGGTCCCAAAGCCTAAAGCTTTCAGTTGCAGCTATTTGAGGGCAAACATTTCCATACGGAACAGCAATGTGGTGGAGCCCAGGCCACCTTCCTCCTTTGGTTCTCTGCATCTGCTCTTTAATGTCCCACCAGGCTACGGCTACCACACACAGCACGTTCCCGGCGTTGCCTTCCCAGCGGTAAGTCTCCTTCCACCTAACTCTACATGGAGAAACCGCGGTCTCCTCAGTCAGCCCATCGATTTTGCCTTGACTTGAGGCATGTGCACACAGTGCTCTCTGCAAACAGCTACCAGGAAAGACAAAAACATTGGCAGCTTTCCAAACCCTAGTCTGGGCATTGCGATTCCTTCTTATAGGAACCGTTTGCACTTCATTTTTTGTTTTAAGAATGAATATTAAGCCTGCTTAAATTTCCTTATGAGAATTATTGTGCCATTTTCAGGAACTTAGAATTAATTTCTTATGAAAAATATTTACTTTAAAATCTTTTTTTTTCATTACAACTATTTAGTATTTAACAATTTAAAGCTAGCAGTATTGCTCATAGAACATAAGTGCATGCACATAACCCAATTTCTAAGCCCAGCCAGATCCATATATCTGTTTTTTTTTCCCTGAACAATCTTATTAAGCTGTCTAAGTGTCATTTTGTCTTTGAAGGGAAGGAATAAACAAGTTACTCTTTCTAAAGCTATGGTGTCATGATAGGAAAACGGTTGGATTTCTTCTGCCGCTGTTAATTTCAGGCTTGTTCTAAAGGCAAATATGATTTAGAAGGATCAAAAAAAGGTATCAGTGATAATTGGAACATGGAGACATGGAGAAGGCGTAAGGAAAAAAAAATGCAGTAGTGATACACTTAATTATGAAGGCTTACTCCGATAATCCCTTTTGAAAATGAACAAAGAAGAGATATTTGATGTTTGATGAACTTATCAAACACGGCAGAATAATGAAGAGGTAAATGTGAAATCCAATCGAAGGTGAGCCAATTAAGCACTTTGTGGAGTGCTGAAGGATACAGGCAGCAAATCCGCCTGTCAGGCAGAAAAACGTATCAATACCCGCGTGGCCCCCGGCCCCGCGCCCGTCTGACGGCGTCCCCAGGGTGTTTCCCCCAGTTATCAATATTTCTCTTTGGGCTGCAGTCTCCTAAGTCAAACAGACGGCTCATGGTCACCAAAACCATCATCATCATCATCATCATGTTGTGGCTTTCAATAACCCTGCAAAATATTTGGGAACCTGGGGCAAACGCAGAGTGGTGCTGGCATGGCACACGTTGCCCCTCAGCACAAAGAATGACGTTGTGCAAATACGGATCAGAAAACTTGGGACCAAAACGTGGAAAACACAACAAGTGGCCTGGGAGGCGGGAGGGGCATTTTCCTGCTGCTGTGTAGGGATATTCCATGCGGCTATGGAAATCCTGATCCATGGGACATTGCAGCATGGTACTGCTGCCTTTCTTGCTTTTAGAGCCTTCTTTTTTTTTTTTTTTTGCCTTCTTTGCAGTATTTATCTATTTCCCTTAGGCAATAGTCAGGCAAATCCCCCAGTCACGGTGTCTGCAGGCTTTGCCATTGCAGCTCGCTGCTAGGGCCATTCTCAGCTTCTCCACCCCATCCAGGAGAATCAGGCCTTGGTTGTGGACCAGTCTGGAGAAACACCTAAAAGGAGCCCAGGCCCATGCAGAAAAAAACAAAGTCAAAAAAGGTCTCAGAAAAAGTCCCAGAGAGGGCTGGGGTGGGTCAAGCTACCACTGCTGAGGGCCTGACCCAAATCTCACCAGCCTCTAATTTCCTGCAAAATAGGTTCTTGTTGGAAATACACATACAGATCGTTTCTTGCTGTTTGCCTCTGGGTCTTCTTAAAATACAACTTCAAAGACCTTAGCCTGCTATCTCTTACTCTCCTCAGAAGAACCAGCAGAGATGTTAATTCTCCGGCTCCCGTTGACTGTCAGCTAAGCCAGTGGTCCGAGTGGACTGATTGCTTTTTTTGCCAAGAGAAAAAAGTAAGGCACGACCGTAATGTATTCATTTATCTTCAGATGTGTCTGTGATGAGGATGTACACACATTAATTATAAATATTATACATATTCATCATTCTGAAGCATCCACTAAACTCATCCAAATATGATGGAGATGCTCTTGCTCTAGAGAGGCTCTTACTTAGCCTGGTGTAAACTAGGAATAAATTCATGTAACTAAGCAGAACTGCAAAATGCAGAATGGAGGCAAACGGGGGAAGAATCAGGCCAGAATATTTGGCCAAGACTTCTCCCTTTTCTATCTCAGATTTAATTAAGTATCCCTTGATTCTTAATGCAAATGAAGAATGAATTCTTCAAATGAAAAGAAATTAAAAGCAGCCTTCATTCATCAGCTCCTGTTCTCAATTTTTGTTACCGTTTCACATATGTCTTCATAACTCAAGAGGTTATTTTCAAGTACCCAATGTAATTTTACTTTTTACCGAGTTTACAACACTATATTTTTTGTTCCTGTGCTATCGCCAGCAAATTTATTTGGTTCCTCTCTCTCGCTTGCTTTTTCTTTTTTCCTCCTGTTCAAGGAACAGCAGTTCTCATTAATAATCCATCAGAAACGTTATGCTGCTTTCAGGATCAGTGCTGTAATTAGTTGCTGTGGCCATCGGATCCCATTACATTCCGGGGCAAAAACATATGACACTGGTAAAATTTCATATGCCTGCCAACATACAAAAAAAAAAAAAAAAAGGGACAAATTCACAAAAACAGTAATTTTCCCCCTGAATTTAGGATTGTATCTGTGAGGTGGTGCAAGCGCCATCCTGTGGGGTGCGGGCTCTGCATCGGTGGGGTGTTCTCTGTCCCCGCTCCAGCACCGGTACCGGACCCTGCTGCAGCCTGCACAGTTTGGGGGACGGCTGTGCACGGGCCACCTCTGGGACGAGGAGCACTGTGGCACCGGCGCGGGCTGCGTCGGGAGCCACCGCTGCGGAGGGGACTTCCAGTGCCAGGAGAGCGGTGAGTGCAATGGCCTCCTGCCACCAGGCCCCGGGCAGGGTGGCACCCCTTGCCCTGAGGAGATAAGGCTTGTGGCACTGTTGGGTCAGCCATTTGCTAATGGCAGCTTGATATTAATTACAGAAAGAAAAGAAATTGGATGAGATATACCTGCTGCTTAGGTTTGGGGCTTTGTGCCAAAGCCACCCCAAAGGTGAACAGCGAGACAGTTCACCACAGGGAAGCTCCCCAGACTTGTCACCCTCAAAGCTACCAGAGCTGGAGACGATGACCACGAAGGTCTCACCTGGGCAAAACCTGTTCTTGTATCAATGAAGAGAAGATGTGCTGTGCTGAGGACGTGAGCAGCGTGCTCAGATGCATCGTTTCTGAACACGTCATCTCTGCTCTTCAGGTCGCTGCCTTAAACGTCACCTCGTATGCAACGGAGAGGCAGACTGCAGGGACGGGTCTGATGAGGAGAACTGTGAGGAGGAGGAGGAGGATAGCGAAAGCTACTGCGGAAATCTGTTCCCTGTCCCAGGGGCTGAAAAAGCTTCCCTAGGGTGAGTAATTATCAATATCCACCAGTCTCACAATCAGGGATTTCATATTACTCTTTCCTAGTAATATCAGCGTTGCGGGGAGGATGTACTAGGTTCCACAAACCCATATGGTGCAAAACCCAAAGGCTGCTCCAGGCATCCTCCAGGTGTTGGACACCAACAGGCACCACCATGAGTAAGAGCAGTGGAGGCAGCAAGGATCGTCCCAGCTTCTACTTCATGCTGTGTCTCAGATTTACTGGCTGATCTTGTCCTCCATCAGCCATCCTCTACCTCAGTCTGCGCTCTTTACTCTCAGTAAAAATATATCCCAGCTTTCTGGGACTGGCTATTGTCCAGTTAATGAAAGCAATATATTAAGTGAAATCGTACGCTTTGGAGAGGAAGCATCCTGGAGGCTCATACCTTTAAGGAGAAATTTCTGCTCCAGGATTTAGGATGTCAAAGCATAGATTCAAGGCAGACGTTATGAGCTCTGTGTGAATATATGCAGAAGTATTTATTCCTAAGCAGGCAAAAGTTTTGCTCTAGCCAGCACTAATTGCCAGTTAGGTTATACATGGAAAACAGCAACTTCAATAATTTAAAGGCAAATTGTCTATTGTGACATTTCTGTTTTAAAACTTGTGTTTTAACCAAAATACTGCTTCATTCAATGTGTAGCCCACATTAAGGAATGTGGGCTACAATATGAAAATGCAGTTGACTCTCCTATAACTTTCCTATTGGCTTGACCCAAAGCTGACTGGATTTAATGAGATAGATGGATCTCTGGTCCAGGACCTGGCAGGATCTATCAAAAGTTTATCGTGTCATAAATTTGCTTTTACCATGCACTGCATTTAAGGCTTTGCTCTGATTTGGTTTGTGCTGCAATCACACAACAGTATTTAAGCTTTAAAGAGGATTCCTTGTTATGGGGAGTTATGCTGCTGCCTTGTTTGAATAATTCTTGTATTCTAGGCCACCAAATTATAGGGAATATGAAGGCAGAACCAGGATTTCAGAGAGTAACAGCTTTGATGGCTGGAGAGCAGCCTGCAAGTCCAGGGAGGGCTCTAACTCCACTGAGAAATGGGAACATTATTAAGGCAGGAGCTGACATTGAGATATTACAGTGAGTGGCAGGAAATACTTTATGACAGAGGGATGCAGTGGACTGCCAAAGACTCCCGCAGGACCTGCAGGAACCCCCGTGTGCTGGGGCTCTACTCAAGCATGGACGTGGACTGAGGAATTTAACTGATTTTTTTTTTCCATATCCAGCATCTGAGTGCAAACCAGTATCATGGGAAAAATGTGACTGTGTCTGCCTCGTTTGCTTTGGCCAGGACATAGCATCCAGAGAACAGACTTCAACTTTATCTTCCAATCCCAATTCAAGCTCAAGAGCTGAGGATAGACCACGTGCAGAGTCAGAACAGAATTAGTGAAGGCGACTGGTGGGAAAAGGAACTAGGAGTTATAGGTAACTTTCTGAATGCCGTTTCTTTTAAAGATACAATATCCTAACACAGGAAGACAGGCTGCGTGTATATGACCCTAATTTTTTTGGAGGCCAATGTGAGCCTGTTTACAATGGAGAGTGGCGGGAGCTGAAGTACGACGCTGCGTGTGAGCGTCTGTACTACGGAGACGACGAGAAGTATTTCCGCAAGCCTTACAACTTCCACGTGTACCAGTTCCTAGTAAGTACTCCAGATATTCAAATTGGGCAATATTTTCCCTGTGAAACCCCAAGATTTCTCTAAAGATAATACACACATCTTATCAGGAGAGCATTCACTCTGTATTGCCTTTCAACTTATTTTTCTCCAGCTATCCCCAAGACAGCAGCTAATTGATAATATAAATGCAGTTTTATGGCACACCAGGGAACTAACGTGCTATATCACCCAAGCATCCCCATTGCTTACTCTGGCCTAGTCAGAAGCAAAGGTTTTTCTCTAAATTCTGCTATTACTGAGATGAAGAACTCAGACAAGGCACTTGTCTCTCTAGGGGTTAAGATGGTCATTTGTGAAATGGGAGCAATTCAACAAGTTCAATTTTTGAAAGCACCTCAAATCTGTGACAGGACTAAAAAGGGGCACAAAATTATATTCTGAATGAGACCAAGTTCCTGAAAGCCCTCACGGTGCATGACTGCACCAGGGGTTCCACCTCATGGTGGATGCTGGAGATGGACATTTAAGCCCTGCTTGGTCCAAGCAGAACATTTAACTTGGGTGCCCCACATGTAAGCAGATGCCCTGGCCGCCTTTGACAAACACATCTACCATGCATCTCACAAGGCCACATTTCTAAAACACAGGCAAAGCAATGCTTATTTTCTCAAGCTGCCATTTTAAGTGCCTTTTGAATATTTCCTAAAACAAATTAATCCTGAAGCAAGCTGGAGTGAAAAAAAAAATCCAAACAGTTAAGATTTGGCAGAGCTGTAAGGGACCAGAAAGAGGGTTTTGTAATGAGAAGTGTCAAGCCAGCTCAATAGTAACTGTTACCAGCACTGCCTGTAACGGCATTGCTTGGAGATGCTAAGCAAGAAGAAATAGAGTGAAATAGGAAAGAAGATATCCAAAAAAACTAACGTCCACCCCTTTCACTTTAGACTCATGCTGATTCTGGATTCTCTTCAGAGTTTTACGATGATTCAAAGGACCTGCTTGATGCCATCAAAAACGATAGATTCAAAACAGCGGGCTTTACTTTTGGAATTGGACCTCAGTTTCTCAAGTTTGAGTTTGGTTTAACTCTATCATACAAGAAAGGGACCCTGAAGAATTTCACACAGTATGATGCAAAGGTAAATAGATATATATACATATATATCTTCCAGTCATGCACAATCTTGCTGTAACTTGCACTGGTTTATTCTCTTACTTGCACCCCACCCCCATTTTTTTACACATACTAATTATACCTTAATTTGTTCATGAAATTGCAAATGCAGGATCATTAGTAATCCTGTTTGTTGTTCTCATTACATTTTAGCAAAGAGGGAGTGGGAATAAAATTGAATTATGAAGTACCAGCACACATGTCATCTCACCCCATCCTGTTTCACGGCCACATTAAGCACATAAATAAAAAAATGCTTAAAGTCTTGATGAGGGAGGAGGAAGCATCAAGATGTTGATCAAACCAGTTGTCCCCAGGGAATGATCTCCAGGAGCAAATATATCATGTTCAAATTAATACAAGCTGCCATATGACAGGGCAATATGCTACTTGTAATAAGAGGTTAAAATAACATGCTGACAAAAGAGTAGCAGATAATAGGGTTTATATCTCACAGTAAGTTTGCATCCTGGGCTAGCTGTGATGACCTCTTTCTACCCTAATAATACGAATGCCAGTATTTCCCCCATATAGAGTGCCTTGTCTCCAATTCTCTTTTGATCACTGGCAGGAAACAATAAAGAAGAATTACCTTGATGGTGTTCCGAGCAGAAATACCCTTAAAAGCTGTTTGAAATTGTCACCATCATCGTATTTACTGTGTCCTTGTCTAGACTCGCACACTATTTGCAGCTACAGGATGAACAGTTATTGGCAGAATCATTTGAGGGGCTGTTCTTGGTGTGCTGGAGTCTTGTCCGAGGCGATGACCTAGGTAGAAGTGGTGGATTTGATGATATATCCAGGAAATTCTCACCCAATTCTCATCATATTCACACACCACCAGCCCCATAGCATCTAAAATCCTGTCTCTGTCCTTGAGGCACCCTATAGAACTGCATGAAAGAGAAGCACTCCCCAAAAATAGGACAACTGCTGATTTCATTTAAACTTGGGCTTTTTTTCAAGTCTTTAACATACACCAGCAGTTACACAGTGAGTCTTTCCTTTGCACACATAAGTTTTTTTTTTTTTTTTAATGCTGAGGCATTGCAGATATGATGCTATAGCTGTGAGAGGGGACAACATTGCTTGCTGAGGCATTAACTCACCTGCTGTATTCAGTGGAGATGCTCCTGGCAAGCACACAGCAGGGCAATCAAAACGAATGTTCAGCCCAGAAAGTGTATCCCTAGCAACCTCTCCCTCCAGCATCCGATAATCCAAGGATTAGCCCGGTGCCACGTCAAGCAACTGCACCGGATAGGGGACCCTTTTCTGCTCATTATGGGTTTCGGTGGCAACTCTTGTTTCACTGACCTGCAGGAGGTTGGCTTCATCAGAGGTGTCACCAAGGTGCAGACTGCCCGCTTCAAGATGAGAAGGGAGAACATCGTTTTGGATGAAGACATCTTGCTTTCCTTGGAGGAGCTTCCAGACCAATATGACTACGGGATGTATGCCAAGTTCATCAACGACTACGGCACCCACTTCGTGACATCTGGGACAATGGGAGGTGTCTTTGAGTACATCCTCGTCGTTAACAAAGAAGAAATGAGAAGAAGAGGTTAGAATAACAAAGAAATTCTCTGCTCAGTTTTCTGCTCTAAACCTTGCATTTCCATTTTGGAGACCATTCTGGGTACGGGCCACATAATTCACCCAGCTTCAGGCTGCTCCCCATGCCCATCTCCATCCAGCCATCCGGTGGGAGGGAGGTGCCCATCAGCCCCTCACAGCTGAGCTGACTGGTACATGCCATAATGTGTTAGACTTTCAGGAGAACCTGGGGAAGTTTTCCTTAGAAATCTGATTTTATTTTCTTGCCTTTTCTCAGTGTCGCTTCCTAGACTTGTCGTATTTCTTAGAGTCTTTGGCCTGGCCATTTTTATGATTGCTTGGGGACAAAATGCCTGCAAACTCATCCGGGGTAAAGAATGATAGCTCATTCTGGATTTAACTTCCTAGCAGAGGGTTTCCATTCTGTATAACTAGAAATAATGCATTGCACTTGGCAATACCTTTGGCACTTTACTCTGGTTAGTGTCATGTCTGAAGATTAACAGTGTTCTGCTAGCTCCCCTTCTCAACAAATTGGAAGGTATAAGGCTAGAGAACTATACTGCTAAATCTTGCTCATATGAAATATCCACCACAGGTGTCTAGACTGCAAGAATATCTGTTACTGGAGAGCCAAAGAATAAGGTTTCTTCTGATCATAACATAAGACATGAAACAAAGATAATATGGTATGCTGGTACACTAAACAGATTGTCAACTTTTGCAAAGATGTCTACAATACAATAGATCCCACCTCCCCTAAAAAAGCATAGTTTCCCATTACTCTGTTTTTGCTCTGCAAAAGGTTCAGCTTTGATAATTCCAGGTTGGGTAAAGACCCTTGTGACAGTGGATAGATGGTGCGAACTGCTTTGCATCCATCCATTTCCATGAAATGGACCCAAGTTCTGCTGGACAGACTTGTTTCTGAAATAGTTTGGTCCCCTCTGGAATAGCTAACTATGCACTCCATAGTTAGTGTTATCCATGCCAGTTATTCCACAAGAAATAATTACCGCTTGAGAGAATTTTCACCGAATTCCTAAACTGCTAATGTTTGGAAACATGATGCCTCTTCAAATCATTTATTCAGTTTGAAGACTGAGTGATATAGAAGTGAATGAGAACTTGGCAAGCGATTCTTTAGAGAACAGACTGCCAAGTAGAGAGGAAGAATGATTCAAGAGCATGCAGAGGGAGGCTATTATTTTACTTTATCTTGTGCTTACTATATACCAGAGGAGGAGATTTACATGACGCCCTATTTTAGGAAAGAAGGATGTTGAAGTTCAGCAAAAGACAAAAACGTGCCCCAGTAGAGATGCCATTTTCATTCTAATGTAGCATGCTTGTATAATTTTCATCTAAATAGGACTCGGTTAGAAAGTCCATATTTATCAAGTTGGCAGTGCTCTATGTCACGCTGCACACATCCAGAAGGAACCTGATGTGTTGGTTGGTGTGCTTCTGGTCTAAAAACACTGAGCAAGAATTTATTCCTCAATGCTGAGCCCTGGACATGCTTAAAGACTGTGTCTGCAAAAGGATTTAGGCACCATCTCTATGGGACGGTCAGGATAGAAGAGCCCAAGTCTTAAGCATCCAGGTAGGAACAGGCATGAGGCGACTTCAAGCATCCAGGAAACTTGAGTTTTGAAAATGGAGGCAACTACTGAATTTAGATGCCAGGAACAGACCACAACTCACGGGTGCAGTTTCAGACTGCAGTTTAGCAGCCAGACTGTTCCTAACTTTCAGGCTGTAAGGGCTCATTTGGATGTGGTCATAAGCGAAATAAATGTAGATGTCAAAACAAGGTCCCTGTTGCTCTGCCATCAATATTTTTCATTACTTGTTTTAAAAATAGATTGTTATGGTTCTCTTATTTAGCAGAAAACGGTATAATGTGTTCACACATTACAAGAACATTTATGGGAGAAACGTTATGCACAGAGTAAATTAGGAAGAGTCTTCACATATTCTGATTAATTCAAAATGCAGCAGTAAATCTTATCATTTGGACACATTTAACTATCCCAAATTACATCATAAAAAACTGTCAGACTCCCTGCTCGAGTGCCAATATTTCCTATGACCACTCTTTTGCAATGATAGCCACTTTTCATTTATCAAGACCAGGTCTTGCTGCAACCAATAGCAAATTGTATTGACAGGCCCTTGCTGAACATAATTACTCCACAGGAACCATAGTGAATCAATTAATCAGGGTGTTCCTCAAGTTTAATTTTATGGCACTCCGACACCAAGATAAGCAATCACTCGTGTTGCTTTGGGTGAATGAACTTTACCAACTGTGTTTACAACTGTTGAACAGTTTAGTACGAGTAATTGAGTGCTACACATTTAATTTTTCTCAGGGGCCCAGTTTTACAATGGGATGTAATTCCCCCTGAAGTCTCGAGCACGCTTCAGTTCTCACCACTTTGAATTCAGGATACGTAGCACCTTTCCCAGGCCGCTGCACAGGACCAGCCAAGGTGACCAGCAGCTCCTAGACTCAGTCCCCGCTCCAGTGTGTCTCCCACGAGGTATTCCTCCAGGGCATGCAGAAGAGAGGAAAAAAACCCAAGCCACAGGCATTTTACTGCCATTTTAAACACAAACAAGACTGAGCTCCCCTCGTGCAGCTGGAGGGAGGCAGCCCAGTCCAGCGCTCCGGCCAGGGACTCGGGTTTGATCATTAGCCCATCAAGCCGTGAAGCACAAAACCCCCCTGACCTCCGGCCTCGCTTTCAATACTCCAGTATTGATTGCCAGGCTGCTTTGTAACACACTTTAAGATCTACTGACAAAAAAAAAAAAAAAAAAAAAAAAAAAAGAGCTATATAAAAGTTAGCCATTCATTACCCCCTTTCTGTGTTTATTGAAATCAATGGATTTTTTAACTATTACAGAAGACGGCCCTATATTTGCGGTATGTTGAAGTGGGTGCATAAAGCGAGGCTGGATGACATACGAGCACTGCTTTCTTTGGTGAAACCACCTTGTTAGTTGGTTTCTGCGTGCTTCACGAGTCTCCTGTTACATATTTTTATGATGGATGTGGCAGTGGTGCTGGCAGCAATGCAGCACTGTGCAGGGAGGGTTCTGCAGCTTGCGGCAGGTTGGCCTTTTGCAAGGTGCTACTGGAGATGCTACTGATGGAAGGGTCAGCTACGCGTTTATGAAAATTAGCATGGACCTATCGATTTCAATTGCTGTTCCTAAATTCATTCTAGTTATGAGTTAATTTGTGTGTGGGGGGGGCGGAATAGATAAGCCTAGGCCGAATCAGGAAACAAGCGTTTGTGTTAGGACCTTCATTTATTACTAATACTGTTTGTGGAAACAATTTTACAGCAAGGACCTTGCCCTACTGAGCTGTAATGTGACAGGCCCAACAAAATGTTGGCACTGCCAGTGTAAGAGTAACAGCCGGCCTCTGCCCTAGGTCCCAGAAAGAGGCTATGCAATTAACTGAATATAAAATATCTAAGAAGGAAAACGGGTACCTTTCTGATCAATACGAGCCATTGAGTCTCGGGCTTTTTGCTTGTTCCGCAGCCATCAGCTCTGAAGACGTCGCCTCCTGCTTCGGCGCGTTGCTGGGCATTGCGGCCGGCAAGTCCGAACTCGAGGTGAAAGCCTCCTTGTCAACCTCCGAATGCGAAAACAAGGGATTTCGTAAAACTGGTAGGATAAATCGATGCCCTCAACCCTCACTGGTGATCCATGGCTCCCTAGTGGCCCCAGACCCTCCTCTCTGAGCCCACGCAGAAGCTGCTGCCCACCCCAAACTTCCATCTCTAGCAAGTGGCATTTGCTGCAGGCAGGGATGAGACATATATGAACCAGGAACAAAACACAACATCCGCAAATTCCATCCCCCTCCAAATTCCTTGGGGCTCTGGTCCCT